ATCAATTCTAACCTTGGTGTTGATACTTATAAACGATGAGTATGAGTATGTGTTTCCCTTTATTGTATATTGCTTATATAAAAATACAATATTTGTGATGATGGAGAAGATTTGTAGCTCAAGTGGATGATTTTGATGAAATTTTGTTCTCTGAGTTGGATGGTTTAGTTGTGGAACGTTTATTGTTCTTCTGAAACGACATCATCAACACAAACGTTAAGTATACGTGAAGTATTCGAACATTGAGGTGTACAGAACAAGCTGTGAACTACATGTGGAGAAATTTGAACACTTCACTTCTGCCCAAAAATTTGTGTTGATGATATTGTTCAAAGGAACGATGAAAGCTTTACGAACAAACCATCCAGTTCAGAGAACAAAACTATATCAAAATAGAATATCTTTATTTAAAAAAGTGTTTGTAAAGTTGTGACAGTTTAAAATCTAGTCGTTATCAGTCAAATCATCATAGTGTCTTAAGTTCAATTCTCATCACTGTCATGAATGTATAATTTAGATTAGATATTTATGCACTGATACTTAATTGAAGGGTATGTCTTTCATGTAGTCTCACTAGTCCTTAAAACCAAATAGATTAATCTGTAATCCTAATAAAAAGAGTTAAGTTTCTAAACTGAAATTTTAGATGGACAAAGATTTTATACTTAACAATGGACCAATAGAACAATAAAAGCAATATTTATACTCACTAACCAAAGAATAGTAATCGATAGTGGTTAAGCGCTCGCGCGCTAGACTTTCAGGTCCTGGATTCGAATCCCGCGAGGCGGGATTGTGAATGAGCACTCATACGGAAGACGAAACTGCCGTCCAGTGATTCCAGGTGTATATAGTGGTCTAGCTTTAATTGACTCATGATATTAACTATTGAAATTACTACAATCTCAACAAAACCCCTTCTGATATCAATATTATTCCCTTCTAATCCTGAGCTTTAATTAAAAACTTTAGATCAAGTTTCAGTGGGAGTGTTAATCTCAGTATCTAATTAGTTTAATTATCTCACTTCTATTAGACATTGTTCAGAAGCTAAATAACTTAACAGTAACCTTTCTATTTATTACATTGGATGGTATCAATCCTATCAAGATTTCAGAGACTTCAAGATGTTGAGTGTCGATCAGCATGAAATCTAAATTCAGAAATTCTTGTTAATTGTTATGATGATTCTCTGGCTAACATTTTTTAGCTAACTTCATGCCGAACCCTCCTCCTTTACTCGGGCTTGGGACCGGCAGTAGCTATAGAACAGCTGTAGGCGCAAGTTGGCAAAAGCTAGTCGACGAAAACTGTCATAGAACCTCACGATCAACAGCGTCAAATGCTGCCTTAAGGTCGAGAAATACTACGATCGTGAGACGTCTGATGGTGTGCCCATGTTCTAGGACCTGGAATATTGTGAATTCCTGGAAATCTTATTATAAATAGTTTCCAAATTTTTATTCTGTTAGTTATAAAACAGAGCAAGGGCCATATTCCTTCAGTTGAAGAATATATGGAACTTAAAACAACTTTCAACTAATATCAAAGTCAGAATCTTCAATACCAAACGTCAAGGCAGTTCTGCTGTATGGTGCTAAAAACTGCAGAACTACTACAACCATCATCAAAAAACGTACAAGTATTTATAAATAATTGTCTACACAAGATACTCAACATCCATTGACAGGATACCATCAGCAACAGCCTTTTGTGGGAGAGAACAAACCAGCTTCTAGCTGAATAGGAAATTGGGAAAAGACGATGGAAATGCATAGGATATACATTACGCAAATCATCAAACTATATCACGAGGCAAGCGCTAACTTGGAATCCTGAAGGGAAGTGTAAATGTGTAAGACCAAAGAACACAATACGTCGAAAAATAGAATCAGACAATGAAATGGATGAATGGAAACTGGAAAGAGCTGTAAAGGATTATTTGGGACGAGGTTGGATGGAGAATATTGATGAGCGGCCTATGTTCCTTCACGGGGAGTAATAGGCGTAAGTAAGTCATGGTGATTGTCATCTAAAGAGAAAGAATACGATATGAATAGTTGGAATGATTATTCTCAATTGGTTATAAGTACAATCAGTATACCTTCATTTATTCATTCATTCATTCATTCAATTTGGTCAGTTCATTTGATGTGACAACTGTGATAAGTATCAATGGAATTAAAGTTTATTGATTTTAAAGGATTATTTATCACTATAGTTGAGGTTATTCATATAATTATAAGAGATAGATGTTATATTGTCAGTTTGTTCATATGAACAATTGATGTGTGGGCGAGAATGATCATGATTGATTGTTTGCTTAGTCAACCATGTAGATAGTCTGACAGGTGTCATATGAGTAACATATTCCTTTATCCTTATTATTGTGACATACATGCTACTGATTGTTCATTCTTGTGGATTATGTCGCTCTTCAGTGTGAAAATATATTCATGTTCTAGTTAGGCTAATTACATGTTCTTGATCTGAGTTGTGTTGACGTCCTGTAGAATAATAGACATTGGGAGGGATCTAATGTAGATAATCGTTTAAGCATTATAACATTAGACGAAGTAGCACCGAACATTATAGCAACAATCTATATTGTTTCATTTGATTAACAACTAATAGGAATATATACTTCAAACTGTGATGGTATTTTATCAATCATTACAACAAATAGTAATTAACTATTCAGTTCCATAAATAAATCGTGATTAATAACGGAATCATAGATTCATGGATTATCATTTGAATATACTATCATTATAGTAATAATGATCCCATTCCAAGTAGAACATGATACCTTATCCTACTAGCTATAATCTATCTATTCAATGAAATTTGTAACAAAAAAGAACTATATCAAGTCAATCATTACAGGATGAATATAAACCAATAAAGATTGTTAAAAACTGAATTCCGAATATGATTGATATAACAATTCAATTTCTTACAAACAGTAACATATGTAATCTGGATTGATCTTTATTATTCACTTTCCACTTCTGTTTAAAACTCATCAGCCGGATGTATTCGAATCCAAGAATTGATATTCACAGGGTTCATGTCCCGAAGCAATGAAAGTACATTCAATTGTCCAATCCCAGATGGGATGAAACATGAGTTCTGAATTCCATTGTTAGTCAATATTCAGCTTTGCTTAGAATGTATATGAATTAAGGCAATGTCGATGCAATAGGCACAGTATACACAAATGCTAATAAGAGACTGATCAATTACAGTCCTAAACAATGATGGGGGAATTTAAAGAATCAATACAAAAATGAATACCTAAAAGTGTTTTGTTATCTCACTAGTACCTAAAAAACATAATTTTTCAGTCATTATTTGTCTCGATATTCACCAAACAATCAATCTAATTAGACATTGTAAACCTGTTAGAATTGCATATTATGCTATATTATTGTGTAATGGATGAATTCTTTGTACAGTTCATGTACATTTATGGGTACACAGACCAACCCTACCAAAGACAAGTGTGTATTAACCTTGAGTAAGCGATGATTCCATCACTACTACTACTACAGACCTTCACGCACGAGATGAAAGGTCCTGAGTTTGAGCTTCATGTGCGTGATCGTGGATATGCACTACTGAGGAGTCCCATACTAGAATGTACATACTGTGTGCATTGATTTCATTTACAAGCATGATATGCAAAGATGGATAGTGGCTTGCAGTGGAATCCAGGACGCGTATCACTTCGTGCTATTTAGGACTCGTCAAATGGATGTACCTGATGTTCACTATAGGACTCGAACTCATTACCATTCGATTCAAACGCCATCGCATTAAACACTTTACTAATCTGTCCTAATAGCCACTTATTTGTGTATTGAATTGAAGTCTAAATTCACTTGATATTATCAGAAGGGGTTTTATGGAGATTGTAGTAATTTCAATGGTAAAGATTGTGAGTTAGTTGTAGCTAGACCACCACCATGGAAAACCTGGAAGCACTGGACGGCCGTTTCGTCCTATTATGGGACTCCTCAGCAGTGCGCAACACCATTGAAATTACTACAATCTCCACAAAATCCCTTCTCATCATCATCAACATATGCTCACTAGTGACTGGCTTCAAGAGGTATATCCTGGAGTTCTAGTGACAACTAGTGACCAGTGGAGTTCAACCAGGTCTATTGTGAGATATCAGCTCACTAATGAAGACAATGGTGAGTGTATCGCTCAATTTGGTGGATTAGTTGAAGTTAGACATTAACACCGTTGGATGCCGGCCGGCTCAGTGGTCTAATGGTTAAGTTCTCGCGCGCGAAACCAGTAGTTGCTGAGTTTGAATCACATGGGGGGGGCGAGGTGGTGGATGCGCACTGCTAAGGAGTCCTATAATAGGAGGAAACAGCCATCCAATGCTTCCAGGTTTTCTATGGTGTTGGTCTAGCTTCAACTGACTCATAATCTTCATCATTGAAATCACTTGATATTGTATGCTTTACAAATAAAATGAAACCTTCTTCCTATTTTATCTATTCCTAGCCATTTATATTTCTAATCTAAATAACTAAATAATAGATTTATCCATCAAATAGTAGAATTGATTAATCTAAATTTCTATTGGTTAATTAATTAATCAAATGATTAAATTCTATCATTTTAAATCATTTTGATTGGTGGAATGATAATTTCATTTCTGATTGGTTAAAATTCAATCTATTTGAACTTGTACTATTTTTTTTTTTTTTTAATTTGATCATGATAATTGGAATGCAAAAATTCATACAAGTAAATGTTGATGATAATGATAATGTAGATGATGATGTTGCTGATGATGATGTCTGGTGATAATGGTGAGAAACATAATCTGATGGATTACAAAACAAACAAACAAACACATATATATATATAATTTCATCATATCTATGTATATATAAGATAAAGAAGTATCATGCCGGGATGTTGTAAAACAATAAATGAACTAAACATTGTAATATGAAACAAAATCATTGAATATAATGGAATATCATATTACACAACATTCATTTATGGATTATGGAGATGATAATAATAATAATCATAATAATAATGATGATGATAATAATGATGATGACGATTTGAAAAGTCATTTCTCTATCATTTATTCTCATGAAGAACAAATCAATCATCAATCAAATATATATGAATGTATGATTGATAATTTACATGATGAAATGAATCCCGACTTTTCAACTAGTAATAATAATAATAATAATAATAATAGTAATGGTGATCATAATCGAAAGGATTCAACAGTATTAAATCAATCATCATTAATGTGGCTTGATGATACATTAGATACAGATATACTACCATTATCTGGATTAAGTGAATTATCATCCTATAGTATTCCTATAATATCAAATAATAATTCAGATAATGATGATTCTAATTGGAGTATATGGTTAAAAACATGTTCATCTCAATCACCAGCTACTGATAGGAAAGTAAATATAGTGACTATAAAATTATCAGATGAAGATTATTCTATTCATCATCAAGAACCAGATTATGCACATCATAGACATCATTCACATCATTATCATCATCATCATCATCATTGTCAACAATATGATCAATGTCAAAATCATAGTATAGATAAAGAAATTGATTTAACAAATGAAGAATCTTTGAAGAAAACAAATGATACTGACAATCATATTGATGATGTTGAACAACAACCACAACAACAACAACAACAACAACCACGTAGGGATTCATTAAACACTGAAATTACAGAGAAAATTGAAGTCATTAAAAATGATACTGATAATCTTCCACATTTCCGTGATAAATATCCACATCATCATCATCATCATCAACATATTCATTATCACCATCATCATCATCATCATCACCATCACCATCACCACCATCATCATCATCATCATTCTAGTCATGAAGATCAACAATCGTCATTTCATGAACTCACTAATTCTATTGATGAATGTAAAAAATGTCAATCATTTGAATTGAAACGAAATGGAATTATAGATAAAAATTCTAAACATGATTTTAATGATAAAGATAATGATTTTATGAAAACTATTGATTATTTAGAAGAAATGTTCAATTTAGAATTGACTGATTTTTCGCATACATCATATAATCGTGTTATACAATGGTTAAATAATACACAATAAATTATATCAACAAAATTCAATTGAATGATTTCATTCTATACTACTTATTCAATAACTACTTAAATACTATTTATTAGTAGTATTAGACCATATGAAGTAGTCAATAATAAATATGAGTAATTATTATGTATATATCTATGTTATTTTGGTACTTTATTATTGTGTATGTTATTAGAATGAAACCATGGAACATATAAACAAACAAACAAGCACACACGCACACATACACACACACTAATGTTGTATATGATGATACTTAGTTAGTTTAATGAATAACTGACTATTCGCTCTAATCTATGGATGTAAATAATCTCATCATAGTTCTAGTTCTATTCTGATTTATTGTCCATAGTTCATTGTATATAATAAGTATGATTTTAATAAAACAAGATACATACATACATACATACCTACCTACATACATAGTTATACAGTTTGTTTGTTTGTCTATTCTGTACTATGTGTGATTATGTAATAGGTAGTGTAGTATATAGATTCATCTCGATTGTATATTGATTAAATTCTTGTTTGTATTAATTTGTAATTGTTTATATGAATGTATAAAATATATTTGTCTATGTGTATCTTTGTTTCTATGATTATTATTAATATTATTTAGTAGATAAATTGATGAGTTGTATGAAATTAGACATTAGATGGGGTGTTTCGTCCTAGTATGGGACTCCTCAACAGTACACATGAGAATAGTACATTTTAATTCTTTGACAATGAATAATAAGTAATGATGTATAGTGACTAGCAGTGAAATTCAAGATACGTGTCATTTTGTTTTATTTGAGATTCATCAGTTGTATGTATTTACATCTTACAGTTGATGTTCATACTTTGGTACTGGAATATCAGTAATATTTAGTTCAAATGCCATCGCGTTATTCACTTAGCTACTGAGTCCTGATATCCACTTGTCTTTTACTGTTGTGGTTTTTCTGGTTTGCACATATTGGAATACAGTGACTGTGTTATGTTGTGAATGACATTGATGCCAAAGGCTTTAGGTTCTCTGCAATTGTTTCTGAGATAATAAGTAAAGATGGATAGTGGCTAGCAGTGGATTACAGGACGCGAGTTTCGTCCTATTTGAGACTGATCAGCTGGATGTACCTGCATCTGAGTTGATATTCACGCTATGGCTCGAACCCAGTACCGTTCGCTTCAAACCCCATCGCGTTATCTGACTAGCTACTGGGTCCTGATAGTCACTTACTTATGCGATGGGGTGAACTTCAATTCGCTTGATATTGTTTTACTTGAATCTTTCCATTGATGTTTAGGATTGAAATTGATCAATCTCTTAATGGTTTGTGTGTATACTGTGCGTGTTGTCTCGATATCGCCTTAATTCACAATCATTCTGAGATATTTCTTACATACTATAAGATGCTCTATTTCTTGATTTCTAGCGTTAATTTTCCGATGATATGTTCACTGGATAGACATCTAATGAATTTGTTACTTTCCAAGTTTCTGCAATTACACCTGATATAGATGATCCCATTGAAGTTCCTTTGATCTATCTATAAATCTGATTGTTGAATTGATAACATATTGTTAGACATCATTCTATAAGTTTTATCACTACTAAATCAATTAGGTTCTGAAGATATTGTTCAAAATGACAATCAAATACATCTCAATGGAACTAATTATCTTTGAAGTATTCAACACCATCGAAAGCGTCGATCCAAACTATAGATTTTCTTTATTTGTATTTATCTCATATATTATATCATTCATTTAATCCATCTGTACTGGACAATATCATGATTACCATTATACTTTATCCTTTAATTCATAAATGATCATTCGCATTGTAAAGATTGAAACTATTTTTTAAAATCAATATTTCTATTTGTATTTATGATTAGTATTTATAATGAATTATCACAAAATTGTGTTTTATACTTACTTCGTTACTTACGCCTATTACTCCTCGTGAAGGAACATAGGCCACCCACATCCACTCACCATCCATCCCTGTTCAAAGCAATCCTTTACAGCTCTTTCCAGTTTCCATTCATCCATTTCATTTTCTGATTCTATTTCTCGACATAATGTGTTCTTTGGTCTTCCACCTTTCCATTTCCCTTCAGAATTCCAAGTTAGCTCTTGTCTCGTGATACAGTTTGATGATTTGCGTAATGAATGTCCTGTTCATTTCCATCATCTTTTCATAATTTCCTATTCAGCTGGAAGTTGGTTTGTTCTCTCCCACAGAAGGCTGTTGCTGATGGTATCCGGCTAATCGATGTTTAGTATCTTGCGTAGACAATCGTTTATATGTACTTGTACCTTGTTGATAATGGTTGTAGTGGTTCTCGAAGTTTCAGCTGCGTACGGTAGAACTGCCTTGACGTTTGTATTGAAGATTCTGACTTTGATATTAGTTGAAAGTTGTTTTGAGTTCCATATGTTCTTCAATTGAAGGAATGTGGCCCTTGCTCTGTTTTATAACTAACAGAATAAAAATTCGGAAACTATTTATAATACGATTTCCAGGAATTTACAATATTTCAGGTCCTAGAACATGGGCACACCGTCAGACGTCTCACGATCGTAGTATTTCTCGACCTTAAGGCAGCATTTGACGCTGTTGATCGTGAGGTTCTATGACAGTTTTCGTCGACTAGCTTTTGCCAACTTGCGTCATTTATGGTGTAGAAGAGATATCCGTCTATCAACCAATGGACGGGTTTACTGCACAGCAGTTCGTTCCGTCCTACTTTATGGAAGTGAAACATGGCCGGTAAGAGTAGAGGATATTCGTAGGTTACTAGTATTTGATCATAGGTGTCTTTGGAGCATTGATCGTATATCCTAGGACCACCAAGTAAGTAATGCAGTGGTTAGGAAACGGATACTAGGTAAGGATTGCAAATCAATTGACGAAGTAGTGAAACTTCATCAGTTGAGATGGCTGGGACATGTGTTGCGCATGCCCGACCACCGACTGTCCCGATTTGCGATGTTTTATGGTGTAGGAGTAGGTTGGAAGAAAGCTAGGAGGGTGGCCAGACGAAAACATGGAACAAATCCATGAAGTCACTGACAAGTGGACTGAGCCATGTTGGTAGGTGTAGATCACTCGGTTGGGATCCGTGAGATGATAGCAATCGATGGTTAGAGACCTTGAATTACATTACTCGGAGTCGTTTGTAATGACGTAGGTGCATCCACTTTCTATTCGCATTAATCTTCTGAAATTTTCATCTCCCTTTCTTTCTCCAAATTTATTTCACTGTATTATACTCCTTGATTAACATGTTCAAACCCTAGTGTTTCCGATTACTGCTTATACTCTTACTACCTCTACCACTACGGGATTTGAATCGATAACTGAATCTCTGTGCTAATTTTGTATGGCGAATCGAACTGATGTACGTACGTACATGTGAAGTTCTACGTTGTTGTTAACTGACTGGTTCACGAAACAACCTCAGTCAAATTACCATTGGAAACAGAATTCTTGAGCACATTGTATTTACAATCCCGCCAGGGGTCAAACCAAAGCTTTTAAATCTTTCAATAACTACTTAAGCTTGAAACTAATGAAATAAAATTCCATTGTATACATCGTAATATTTGACAACCCCTATATAAAGTACTTGGTAGGCAACTACCATACTCTTGAATCATTTAAACTTTAGTGGTCAAGATTTTCATACCAAAATTCTTGGATTTATTTATAGTATATATATATAGTACAAAAAATATCCCCAAGAACTTAACAATCAATGAATAAATAAAGGGTTTTTGTAGATATTCTAGTCATTTAATAGATGAATTCATGAATCAATTGAAGCTAGACCACCACTATAGAAAACTTGGCAACACTGTACGACCATCTCATCCTATTATGGGACTTCTCAATAGTGTATATCTACAATCTTGCCTCGCCAAAACGTTTACAAGAAGAATAAGATAGATAAATAAAGATAATTTCGCTGGTTGAAATCATGAATTCATTGAAGCTAGACCACCATGGAAAACCTGGAAGCACTGGACGGCCGTTTCGTCCTAGTATGGGACTCCTCAGCAGTGCGCATCCACGATCCCGCTCCTCGCGAGATCCGAACCCAGGACCTATCAGTCTTGCGCCAGGCGCTTAACCAACTAGACCACTGAGCCGGCATCCAACGGCGTTAATGTCTAACTTCAACCAATCCACGAAGATAATTATAATGGTAAAATTTAATGCTAATTCTAGTTAATTAAAGTCTTGATTCGAAATTATCAAGGTCAAAATTGTAATGTTGATTATCTTGTGACATTTCAACTTCTCTCTCCTTTTCTTTCTGTCTCTACCTCCTTCCCTCCCTCCCTCTCCCTCCCTCTCTCTCTCTTCCATATTACCTTAAAAGGATATTACTGTTATGGATATTGATTATAAATTATCCTAGTATTTTTTAATCTCTTTATTACAACATTTATATGATCTTTGTATATATATGTATATATACAGAACATGATTTTACTATATTGATTTTAGAAACTTATTCAGTCAAAGGATTAGCAACTAACAATCTTCATGAATTAATTATCTTAATTCATTATCTGTTGTTTGTTTATAACTTATCACATTTCCCCATTTCTATACATGTATGATAGATCCTGGGTTCGAAACTCGTGG